GAGGTGGTTAACCCCCTCGGCGCCGGGTGGGGGCTTTGGTCCGCCATTGCCCTCAGATGATGCCACCTCCACGATCGACCCCCCCAGCACCCAGCCTCCACCACCTTCTTGAGATGATGCCACCTCCGTGAGCATCCCCCAGGACCCAGCTCCACCATCACCCTCAGATGATGCCACCTCCATGAGCATCCCCCAGGACACAGCTCCACCATCACCCTCAGATGATGCCACCTCCATGAGCATCCCCCAGGACACAGCTCCACCATCACCCTCAGATGATGCCACCTCCGTGAGCGTCCCCCCAGGACCCAGCTCCACCATCACCCTCAGATGATGCCACCTCCGTGAAGTGTCCCCCCAGGACCCAGCCTCCACCACCTTCTTGAGATGATGCCACCTCCATGAGCGTCTCTTTCCCACTGTGCCCCACCAGCGAGTGGGCTGGGACTGGGCAAGAGGCTGGGAGGGGACACAGCTGGGACAGCTGACCCGAAGTGACCAAAGGGATATTCCATCCCATACGACATCGTGCTCAGCAATAAAATGTTTGTGAGGTGGTTTGGGGGAAGGCAGCCATTGCTTGGAGGCTGGTTAGGTATGGGTCTACTTGTGGGTGGGGGCAAGTGATTGCCTTTGCATCCCTTATTTTGTGGGTTTTTTTCCTTCTCCCTCACCCCTTTTCTTATTAAATTACATTTTGGGAACGTTCTAATGAACGACACACCTAAATTTGTTCGCTCTGCAAGCATTTTTCATGAAACACAAGAGGAAAAGACAACGCAGGCGTCGTGGCAGGAAATTATGTCCATCCAGCTCTGGGTGGAGAGAGGCTCCTCGGTGGGCTGCTGCTTTGCCAGGTTGGAGAGAGGCACTTGATGAAGGTTTTGGTGGAATAAAAGAAAAATAGAGACCGCAAGAAATGCGTTTTTCTGCATCTTGCACTGCTGCTGCCCCATCTTGGGGATAGATGCAGGTTATCGGGGGAAAAACAGAAAATGCAGACTGCAAAAACAGTATTTTTCTGTATCCCATGTAGTTGGTATGTCTTTTTGGGAAGAGATGGAGGTTATTTTGGAGAAAATAGAAAACACAGACTGAAAAAAACCCACATTTTTCTGCATTCCACATTGTTGCCATGTCATTTCACAGAGGGATGAAGGTTATACCATGATAATAGAAAATATGGAAGGCAAACTAAATGCATTTTTCTGCATTCCAGATTCCTGCCATCCCATTTTGGGGTGAGATGGTAGTTATTTGGGGGAAAAAAAAAGAAAAAGCAGATTGCAAGAAGCAGATATGCCAATCTGCCTCACCATCCCCTACGCCCAGCACGGGGGGACATCAGCGATGGGCCAGCACTCCTTGACGCCGGCCCAGACACCCACCACTGTCCGGCTGCGAGCCCACCCCATCACGGCCACATGGTGCGGTCGACCGTCGCCAAAATCACAGGTCAGCTGTGCGGTGAAGGGGATGCGGACATCCAACCGGCGTCCCTCCAGGGCCACTGTGCACGCCGTCCAGGGCTGTACCTCCTCTTCCACCACATGGGTATGGACAACGTACTCGCTGGTGCTGGCTCCCCCCACCCAGGGGTTGCTGGTGATGTTGGTGGCCTCCCAGCCCGTCCCATTGAAGGCCAAGAGGGCGGCTCGCAACACCCCATGGATGGTGGCAAAGCCCGTCTGGTCCATCTCCCAGTTGTGCTCCGTCTCAGTGGCCTCCTCCAAGGTGACAGCTTTACGCACCCCTTGGCAGCCCTTGTTCCTCACCGTGGTCTTTGTCAGGGTGACATCCTCCCCGCGCTCCACCGCTCCGCTCATGTTGTAGCGGACATCGGAGATGGTTATGTCTGATGGGCCCTTCTTGACCACCAAGACTTGGTACCACTTGTACCAAACCTCCTCACCATCCACCACCACGAAGGCAGCCCTCTGATTTTTGGAGACCTTGCCCAAGCCGTAGCGGTTCCTCCCAACAAAGACATCAACAGATGGGCAGCCCTCCACAGCATTTTTGGGCACATTGCCGAAGGAGTCATCCACCCAATCCAGTGGCTCAAAGCCTCCCACATTGACCAACACCTCGAAGTTGTGGGTGCTCCACTCCCATTCTCCATACGGGAAGAAGCAGAAGGGACCTCGCTCGGGGACGTAGGCACCGGTGTTGCAGCCAAGCATCGACGTTGAGCAGACATACTCCATCCTCTTGGCATACGCGTTCCAGTTGGAGACGGCATTGGCGGGCAGCTTGCCTTCAAAAGCCTCCCACTTCAGGTATGAAGATGGCTTTTCATCCCGCTTCTTCCGGGGAAAGCTCCAGCCAGAGGCTACAGGGAGAAAATGGGGGATTTTGGTGAAATGAGATGCCTCCATCCTGCCCTACCATCTCAAAGCTGCCAGAGCAATGTCTTGCAGAGACCCTCCTCACTGGGGAAGCTGCCAGCGCACCATGCCCCACACTTGCGCTAGCATGTGTGGCCAAGAAAATGGTAAGAAAGACATCTCAACCAACCTTTCTTAAATTCTGGGGGGGCAAAATGGAGGCCAATTCTGCTAAAAATCAGAAGAGCAGAGACCTTCACACGTTGGAGGACAGAGGGATGGGTAAGGCCATGTACTGGGTTTAAGTGGCAAGGTTTTGGGTTGGTGGAGGCCACAGCAGTGACCTCTGACCAGAGTCAAGGGGCTGCCCCACACTGGACACAGCTGGGTCCAGCTGGCTTCAAAATGGAACCACCACTGGCCAAAGCTGAGCCCATCAGTGATGCTGGTGGTGCCTCTGTGATAACGTATTTAAGAAAGGCTAAAAACAACTGCAAGAGAGAGGAATGAGAAAATGGGAGAGAAACAACCCTGCAGACGCCAAGGTTGGTGAAGAAGGAGGGCGAGGAGCTGCTCCAGGTGCCGGAGAAGAGGTTCCCCTATAGCCCTTGGAGAGCCCACCCTGGAGCAGGTTCATCCTGAAGGACCGCAGCCCGTGGGAAGGGCCCACGTCAGAGCAGTTCATGAGGGACTGGATCCCATAGGTGTTATGGACTGACCACAACCCCCACTCCCCTACACCGCTCAGGGTGGGGAGAAGGTAGAGGAGTCCGGAGTGAAGCTGAGGCTGGGAAGAAGCTGGGGGAGAAGGTGTTTCTAGTTTTGTCTGTTTCTCACCATCCTACTCTATTTTTCATTACCAATAAATTAAATTAATCTCCTCCAAGTCAAGTCTGGTTTGCCCATGACGGTAACAGGTGTGTGATCTCCCTGACTTTATCTCAACCCGTGCACTTTTTCACCTTATTTTCTCCACGTTCCAGCCAAGGAAGTGGAGAGAGCGGGTGGGTGGGCGTCTGCCAGCCAGCCAAGGTCAACCCACCAGAGAGCAAGACTCACCCAGGGGCTGCAGAGGTCTCCTTCCCATCGCTCCAACCGGCGGGGTTTCGGCAGCTCCGTCAGCCCCACTGCTGCCTTGGCTGAGGAAGAGGAGGGCAGCGGCGAGGAACAGCTGTGGGAAAGACCAGGGGAGTTGTCACCCCTCCGAGCACCCTCCCGCCATCCCGCACCCCAGCGGTGACTCCTGGCCAGGAGTCGGGTCCTGGTGTCCCTTCGTCCATCTGGTTTTGGGGTGAAATCCCACCAGGCTGTGTTGACACAGCTTTAATTTTTAACCAGCCCGGCGGGGAAAGGCTAGGAAAAGGGAGAGGCTGGGAAATGCAACACGGCACCCGCTCATAACAACTCTCTTTTTAATTTTATTTATTATTTTATTTAATTTGTTAAATAATTACTTTCCAGGAGCTAGGAAGCATCCCTTTTTTCCCCTAAAGTGGTTAAAAATCCCCCAAATGACCCCAAACCAAGCCCCGCAAAGCGCCATACCTCGCGAGTCAGCATCCCACCAGCCACCTCCGGAGGCTGCGATTTAAATATATATTTTTAATAAACAAATGTATTAATTTTGACAGCCCCACGGCCATGTCCCGCTGCCAACCTGGCAAACCGTCCCCAACAGTCTCGTCTTTGCAGGGGACGGGTGCTCGCTCCCGCAGGGCTCCCAAATGCCCCAACTCCACATTCTGGGGCTAAAACCAACCCATTTGGGTTCTGCTGGATGTTTTACCCGTGAGCTGTGGGCTCGATGTAAATCCCAAGCAGCATTCGCCCGTGGCTCGCTGCCCCACGCCGCACTCCCTACCTCACCTCTGCTCCCACTTGGATGTAAAACCCTTTTTTTGGGGGGTGTTTTCGGTCCTTTTTGGGTCACTTCTAGACTGGAGCGGTGTTTTCCAGCACAGCTGAGCTTTGCCAGGTCCGCGCAAACCCTGGGAAAGACCAAAGTCTGAATGGGAAGAGAAGTGCAAATAAATGCAAAAAAAAAAAAAAAAAAAAAGAAAAAAAAGGGGAAGGGAGGACTATTAGCAGAAATTTGGCAATTTTTCTGCTCTTTGCAGAAATTTAGCATTGCTTTTTTGGTTTTTTTCAATCAGGAAAAATGTGTTATCGAGACCCAAAAAGCACCCGCAAGCGGCACGAAATGCCCATTGCCAGGCGCCCGGGAGGTTTCACGTACCCAAAGCGGTTCCTCTCACCCCAAAACACCGCTCAGAAATCGGTATTTCCGGAAAATCACATCAATCCCTATTTCACTCCATGCTGAAAAAAGTCCCTTTTAAAAAAAATAATCTACATTTTCCGCTTCAAACCTGAAAATCAAAGCGAATTAGAGCCAACTTGGATCACTTACACATCTCTAGGACACAAAAAATATCAGCCAACAGACCCAAAATCCACGCAGGTGCTAGATTTGGGGGGGCTTCCCCCAAAAAAGGGAACTTTTTGCAGCGAGGACACAGCAATCTAGGGAGTTTTTGCCCCGAAACGGGGCGGTGGCTGCTGTGCCCATGCGGTGTTTCCTCATCTGCCCCCAAATGCCATTTTTTAGCGCGGAAAT